GAAATTGAAATTGCATAAATATTTACTTTGCCCAAGAATTTGTAGGAGGAACCAATCTTATGAAGGAAACGCACTATCAGTTCCTGCCGGAGAGCCCATTCTCTTTGTTAAGATTGCGCGAATAAGCAGGTCGATAGATATAACACACACTGTATAAAGTAAAAATAAAAAATGAAGCGTCTATTTCAAATAAGAATATCCACTGTAATAACGTTTGAAGTAATGAAACTAACGGAGTAATTATAAATCTATTAATTCTGCTTCTTCTTATATATATATATATATATATATATATATATATATATATATATTATGCACTGTTACATTAGAACGTTTAAATATTCACTACCTATTAAAATTATACATTTTGTTTCGACGTTAAAAAATAACGTCTCTTCGGGAGAGACGTTAACTTTACGCTGAAACAAAATGTACCATTTTGTAGTGGATATTTGCATGTAACAGTGCATAATAAATAAATATTTATTGCACTACTTTTGTATTGAGCCCTGTTTTAAATTAATGTCTTGAATGTTGAAATTTTATCCTTCATTCTTTTGTATTTGGATATATATATATATATATATATATATATATATATATATATATATATATATATATCAGAATAAATCCTACATATATAAGAATAAATCGTAACTAGAGTCTACCCTGAAGATCCGTTTAGGTGAAACCTAGGTAGGTTTGCCTGTCTCGTTAGGGTCTATTCTTATTTACCGTTTTACTTAGCGTATTGAGCCCTCTACGTTTTTGTAGTCTTTATATTCGCTTGGGTTTTTTCTTTGGACTAAGGACTTAAGACACATGACGATTTTTTTCGCCTTATTCTGATGATTTTAGTTCTTTCTTATTTTATTTCCAATTTTTCCTCGGGTACCAATTTGCCCTCAGGTGTCTGCAAGTTGAGTCATGCGAAGTTTTTCAAGCGAGTAATACTGTTAATATATATATATATATATATATATATATATATATATATATATATATATATATATATATATATATGTGTGTGTATATATATATATATATATATATATATATATTTAGTTTTGATGTGAGTTTGTGACCCTGGGTTTCACGCTTTTGCGATTGTCAGACAAACAAAAGCTTGTCTGACGATCGCAAAAGCATGAAATCTAGGGTCAAAAACTCACATCAAGCCAACCAAATATATTAGCTCTATCTTTAATATTGAACGCTTTCTAATAAGTACTGCGCATATAATATATATATATATATATATATATACGCACTTTTCACACACACATATATATATATATATATATATATATATATATATATATATATATATATATATATATATATATATATATATATATATATATATATATATATATATATATATATGGTGGTTTCGACTCGATTTATGACTTAATTTATGTTCATATTTTGACAATGTGGATGAGGCTTATTTGTTCTGTTAAGGTCTTAGATTATCTTGGGCAGATGGGACAAAGGTTGGACGCCACCTGCAGGAGGTGCTACAGTAATACATCGGTGGACTTTCACATGACGTTTTAGTCAACCAACTGAGGCACATTCTTTTCCACACTCGCTTAAATGTAGAAATGTCATATAACGCGTAATGAATGTCTGCGTGGGGTGTTTGATTATTTTTTTTAAAGTCCTACGTACTTAGACAGATTTAAACATTCGACCAAACCCTGTGCCAAGATTCTCGGGGAGATAAACACCAACACTCTTACGAACCTCTCATTCGGGTTTTCCATGCGCAACACGTTTCTGTTAAAAGTCTCTTACAAATGCCTTCCCCCAGGATGAATACAGATGCCCAACCTTCAATTTCCAGTCGCGACAAACTTCAAAAGCGTTTGGGTAGTCTTCTGTGGGATGAATTCCTTCTCACCCCTTGTTCCAAAAGTCCAGACCGTCATTGCCGGGACCGGGCATGAGCTGACTCATCCTCATTCCATTCATATACAGTGTAACCCGGATATAAGAGAGTTGTCGGGACCGGAGAAGAAGTCTCTTATATCCGGGTTTCTCTTATATCCGGGTTTGGTCTATTTTATATACATTAACACAGGCTCTAATTTGGGACCAGAGACAATCTCTCTTATAACCGGGTTTCTCTTATATTCGGGTTTCTCTTATATCCGGGTTTCTCTTATATCCGGGTTTGGTCTATTTTATATACATTAACACAGGCTCTAATTTGGGACCAGAGACAATCTCGCTTATATCCGGGTTTCTCTTATATCCGGGTTTCTCTTATATCCGGGTTTGGTCTATTTTATATACATTAACACAGGCTCTAATTTGGGACCAGAGACAATCTCTCTTATATCCGGGTTTCTCTTATATCCGGGTTTCTCTTATATCCGGGTTTGGTCTATTTTATATACATTAACACAGGCTCTAATTTGGGACCAGAGACAATCTCTTTATAACCGGGTTTCTCTTATATCCGGGTTTCTCTTATATCCGGGTTTCTCTTATA